GACACTGGTATCACACACTCAAACACATGAGGATCCCATAAAACACGGGCATTGATTTCAATTTACGTACCGGAGCATATCGATCCTTAAGCCTCGTTTCCACTAAGCGACTAGCTTCTTCGCTAAGTGAAAAAAAGGCCCAGAATTAGTCGCGTTCACCTTTGCGGTAATGGTTTTCCTATTCTAATCTTACTAATAATATAAATCTGAAAGTCTAGGGCGGATGGAGGGCGGAGAACGGCGCAATTGATCTTGAAGAAATTTGTCATGGATGTAGAACATATTTTCCAGAAGGAAGAGCCACATAGGCTACTAATTAAGCTTTAAATTTCTTGCATTCGAAGTCGCAGGCGACAGACTGAAGCGTAATAAACAGAACTGTAAGTGTTCTTACTGACTTGTTAGTCAATATTCTTTGTAAAGTACATCGTATATTAAAAATGTCCCGCAGAGAAAACTTTTCTTAGCGAAGACAGTGTTATATAAAAGAAAGATGAATAGAAAGCCTTGTTAACTGTCCATTATGTTTAAAAGTTTTCGTTTAAGTCCAACTAAGATTAATCGATATCCTTGCTAAGCTCCAATAGGGCTGTGACGTAATTGGAATATCGATATCGATACTAATTTTACTTGCTCCAACGGGTCACAGCTGGTTCCCCAAGAAACTAACATTTATAAAGGGTTTTTCGCGAAACCTTTACATTTGAATATTTCATTAATTCAGAGTAAGAAAGACCAAATTAAAAATACATAATTTAAGAGCATCATCTCCTGTCCACATGCCTATGTGGTCAGTACAACAGTTTTTGGCTTCCAAATCGATATATTGTAATTAACTTAAGTCCATAAATCGATAATTATAAACACAGCCCCATCCCTAGAGGACTGTCCCAGTAAAATTGGGCAAAGTATTTTCGGTGGCGGGACTTTAGGTGACCGCGGGCGTCGCACCCCATCCGATCATCGTCTAATGCGATCCCGCACGCCCCAAATCTTTTAAAATGCGGGCTCTAACGCCATATGTTGAAACTACCCTCCCGTGACGCGCACTCCACCCTTATTGTTTGGGAGGACAATAAATATCTCCGTTACATAACTAAATTGAATCGTAGACACGATCGGTATGCGGTATCTTTACTATTGAACAGATAAACTTAGTAAAAAACCTGTATGAATTCAAATACTTTGTGTTTATAAACGTAAAACATAACTATTTAAAAGGTGTCTAAATTCATAACATAATTTAAAGCTCAGGTCCATCATAACTTAGAGTACGTTATCGTTAAGTTATTAAACGCTCAAGATGAACTGGGGTAAAGTTGTAAATTAGTGCACTAATTCGGGCAGCGAGCTTCCCCATCTGGGGAGTAATCGATCAAGTAACAAGGCGTTGGGCCGTCATCCGTCAGATGCCGCGCTTCTACAAAATTCCCATCACAAATTGCATTCGGTTGGAAAGCTTTAATTATTACATTAGTTTCCGGGCAATAGACAAACTGGAATAATTTCATTAACTTGAGATATTAGCTTTATTTATTTAGTTACAAGATGGAGCAATTACACGAATCTATATTTGTGGTTAGTCCTATTTTAATTATAACAATTACTAGCTGTCGCCCGCGACTCCGTCCGAATGAAATCAAAATAAATCACAATTAGTGGCTTTGTGTTCTTCCAGACTATGTTCTATACGACGTATGCTAAATTTCATAGAGATCCGTTCAGCCGTTTTGTACATACTTTCAAACAAACAAACATCCATCCATTCATACATTTACATTTATAATATTAGTATGATAGTAAGATTAATTTCCTTTACAAAATATCAGATATGACACTCTTTTACATTTCTACTTTTCTTATTGTCGGTTTCTGAGACCAAAATCTCTGTATAAAACATATCGTCATCCCTGTCATTATGTTTGACAAAACAGAGATAAAAATATGTTTTAAACGGAGATTTTGGTTAATATCTTTTCGAATTTAATTTCTATATCCATAATAAAGCTTTCTTTACTATGACTAAGCAAATTTATAAAATTATGCCGAAATCTTCGATAACTTAAGTTGTTCAAAACCAATTTGCCGCTTGAATTTGACTGTAATTAATAAACTTCAGATTAGTGGCGCATTAATTAGTCAAGTTATCAAGTAAGCTGTAGCTTAAATATTTCATATTTTCATACTTAGTTTTTAAACGTCAGTTTTCACAGCCTAAAGAACTATACAAAGCCATAACTACTACATAAACTATTCTACATGCGTTTTTGCAGTGGAAATCAACGCTTAGAAATAGTATACATACAGTATGCTCGTTTTAGTTTTGCAAAAGTATGTAGCTTAGTCCATAATATTACGAATAAAGACCGTAATACACCAAGTTTAAAAAATATAAATAAATATATAAATCTACCCTCCTACGCTCAGTGGCGCCCCCTATTGTGGTGCGCGGATCTCAAAACAATAGGTTTTCGCTGCATTGTCCGCTCCGCAGGCTCGGCTATCACAGATTGCGTGCAGCCTCTACGTTAAACTTTTCATTTTCTCTCGTTTAGAATATCTACGTTATGTTTTATATAAACTACTATCTATCGCCCACGACTCCCTCCGCGAAGTATCAAAACTTAATTAGTAGCCTATATGTTCCAGACTATTTTCTATATATATGCTAAATTTCATCGAGATCTGTTAAGCCGTTCTGGAGATATCTTTAAACAAACATCCATCCATCCATCTAAACATTCGCATTTATAATATTAGTAAGATTACTAATAGCCGGATTAAAATACAATCCTTGACATAGATAGGTAAATAACAGACAAACAGAACAATGCAGAAAACTTTTTTTCTTAATTATTTAAACTGTTCCCTTTAAATAATTCATTCTTCTATTGTCGAGTCTGCGTCGTTGCCAAAATTTTAACTAATTGACGCGAAACATGTAGTCATTAGTGAGAACCATCAATCATGTTGTCAGACGAGCTGTGCTAATACACTTTAATAAGCTGCAGTCCGTTAATAAAGGACTATGAGTGAAAAAATCTACCCTTAAAGCTAAGCACCATATATCCTGAGTTTACAAAACCTGGTATAAACTTTGTTCAAGCATAGAGCTAGATAAACAATTAAAAGTAAAAAGTAAAGTAAGCGATATAGTTATTAAATCAAAATATGTATCTGGCTGTATATCACGCTCGTATATTTATTTAAAAAAAAACTCTCATGTCATTCTTGTCTATTAAAGAATATTTTCTCTAGTAGGTGAGAGTGGAGAAGAGTGAGAATAACAATGATATCATTCTTTACTAGCTGTCGCCTGCGACTCTGTCTGCAAGAGTTAAAAAAAACATAATTATTTACCTATGTTTTATTACAGGCTAAATATATGCCAATTTTTTGCGAGTTCCATGCAGCCGTTCTAACATCCGTCCATCTAACCATTCGCATTTATAATATTAATAAGAAATAATCGCTTATATAGGTAAATAAGTCGTAGTTAAACACAATCAATATAGCTTGTTGATAATACGGCACGTGCGAGGAGCGTTACGCCACATGAACACAACTATACTGAAAAAAAAAAACAAAAAGTAACAGTGACACGCGACAGAAATCGTCGAGTCAACCTTCATATAATTACGCCATAAAACGCTATTGGGGGTGACCGCTACGAACATCCAATTTAGTGGGTTTATTGGGCGACAAAACAGATATTTCCTGTCTGTGCCCTCTTTTATTACTGTGACTTTTTAACTTATATATAATACTGGAAACGACATACTTTTCAAGAAAGCTTAAAGGTTACTTAACTCAAATTATCAATTAATTTGTTCCTAAGTGCTACTTTAGTAATTGCAATCATACATTTTCCTATGCAATTATTCAAACTACGATAGTAATTTTATTAAGAACAACAATTAGTTTCAATTAATAAGAAATCTTCTTACACAAACATGCTAAATATTTTTTAATTTAAAATCAAGCTACGCTTAGACATTAATTATAATGTTAAGACACTTCCATTAGTGTTTGTTCATTGTTCAGACCGCGCCCTTAGTTGAGTGCGAATCGGTATGGGGGGGAGTGTGCTGACCTCACGTCTGACACTTGCCTCGTTTTGTTTATAACATACTATAGTTAATGTTATATTTAATTTTACTCACTATCCAATCATTTCTACGACAAATAACTAAACATATGCATATAAAAATCCAAGCTAGGCCAATATAATTTGATAATTTGTACTAGATTTTTCTGACAACCAATATTTCGCGCGTCTAACCTTTTTTATATCGATGTCATCAACTAAAAATTTCATGTAAACATCTAGATGTGGCAATATTGAAATGTCAATTGAAATCTTTTAATTCTTACTTTCTTACGTCGTTATTTAATGTTGAAATGTTACCCTATTGGACTTAAATTAAATAATTTTCCCGTAAAAAAGTTAAAATTTATAAAACACACTTTAGCAATGTCTTTCTTGTTTTTTTATTGGCAAACAAAAACTTAAATTTTTACTAGATTACGTCTGTGTCTTTATTTTTTTTAATTTATAAAACACGATCGTTAGAGCTAAGACACGCAATAGACACTAGGTCCATTAGGGAAGTGAGTCAGCCAACTCGTAACAGCTTTTAAGGCAAACGAAACCGCTACTTAGGTGAGTATATATCATAAATATCAAGATTATAACTCTGTTGTTTTGTCTAGATTTCAATTGTTAATAAATAAATAATTAACAAAGGAGTGTTGTCAGATTATTTCAAGAATTAATTAAATTGTTCATACAATAATATTAGCTGTGATAAATAAACAATTAACGTGTGTGTGTTCTTCCACTCTGTATTTTACATCTGTGCCAAATTTGAACGAGATACGTTGAGCCGTTCTAGAGATACCTTCCTACAATCATCCATCCATCTAATCTTTAGTTTTTATAATATTAATAAGAACACTGACAAAAACACGGTTCGGGTAGTTAAAAAAAGTGTACTCACCAGAACAGTACAGTCTGAAGTTCACAGTCGACACACTCGCACGCGGGCCACCGCGTCCGCTGCACGTGCGTCACATCTGCTCTGCGGACAAAAGAAATGCTTTTTTCAAAACAAATTCCATATTCGCGTACCGTTGACGCGGATAACGGAGAGGGGGAATGTCGGGATATTTATATGCCTTTATTACAATACCGGGTACAGCTATACAATCGATGTCTAGGATTTCAGTTGAGTGAACTATCGACTACATATTTAAATAAATACTTAGTTTAATAGACAATGGGGAAGCTTTTTTAATAGACATCTTATTTGGTCTATAAAGGACAAAAGCAACCAATTATCAGTAGCTATCTCCATAGACAATGTGAGCTGGATGTAGAAAAAACAAATGAAATCCATTTTGTTATACCAAAGGGTTTAGATAAAATTTCCGTAAGGTCCGCCGGTCAAAGGGCATCCGTAATGTATAAAACAACATTTGATATGCAAATAACTATCGTCTTTCCGGACAAAAGTATGTTTATCTAAAATAAATATTTTTATACTATTCAAATATGTAAACATCGTTATCAAAGATACCTCGTAAATAAAGTGATAATAATAGTCCCTAAGGGTGGATATCTTCAATTAAATCTACACTGAGTGTCGTCTAGGTGACTTGTAATTCTGAGTGTAACAATAAACTATTTACCGTGGGTTTCTAAGACCAAAATATCCGTACAGAACATCATCCATGTCATTATCTTTGATAAAACACAGATATGTTTTAAACGAAGATCTTTGTCTCAGAAACCAACGGTTATTGCGTTTTTTTATTAATACATACAATTGTTGGTTGAGCTGATACGTTATCTGGTACACAGTAGTCTGCAAACATTACTGTGTTTGGGATTCTATTAAATAAAACAAACCTATTACAAGGTGAGGGGAAAAGCATATAAACTTTTTTTTAAATTCACTTTGCATCTATTGCAACTATTTTTTTTTATATAAAGTACGAGCATGGACGTTAATCAGTATATTTATTTCTGTACAAATGTACTTTTTGGTTACAATCACAAGATAACGAACGGAAAGATACTCAACCTCAATTTCAACGCAATGTTATTTAATTTAGCGATAACATATTCTTGTTAAATTAATGTCGATAGTTAAAATAAAAAAAAAATATTAAAACAAAAACGTATTTAATAAACTACTGATGTACCAGATTCTATATAATTCCAGCAATCCAGTGAATTTTAAAAATATTCATTGCAGCATTCAAGTTGGTAAGAGTTCAACCGCATCTCACAAAAAATTAAAAAAAAAATACTCAAGCCTCGACGACAAACAAACCGAGCTCCTACTTCAAGCATAAACACGACAAAAGCGAAAACAATTTTCGGATTCGCTCCTTTTGAATCTGACCGAGTTGAAAAAAAAAGATATACCGTATAATTACAGGTCTTTACCTTTGGCCTCGCAACAAGGATAGCACGATTGCGAGAGGTGAAGAGAGAAAGGGACAGAATACAGTAAATTACGCGTAGCGACGACAAAGCGCGATGATATCGCGAAAATGCGGCCTTTAATTAAAAACTCTAATTTCAAAAATGGAAGCTGCGTAGTCGAAATTCAGATTCGCGGACGTTGACGTGGAAATTCTTTGCAACAGTGGAGGGCCCTCTCCCCCCTTATTCCCTCTCGGTGTGTCACTGGCGTACAGTCATTCGACGGATTAAAGTGCATAGAATTTTATTTTGCGTAAAACCACGTAAGTATATCGTGTACAAAATGCAGCGACGTTTTCTAAAACTACTATTTCAAATGTATATTCCAGACTATCTCGTTATTTTGCAAAACGTGAGTGCAAAAGTTGAACATAGTTTGCTTGCACTCTAGTTAAATTATACGTAAACCTGGAATTTAATCTAGATCTGAGCAGGTATTGGGAACTAAATTTTCTGCAAATAGATCGTGGTGAGCAAATTTTCTTCTTAATTTTCCAAAACAATGTTTCTAATATTACTTATATTATAAATGCGAATGTTTGGATGGATGGATTGATGGATGTTTGTTTAAAGGTATCTCCAGAAACAAACAGAACAAGTCTCGCTGAAATTTGGCATGGATGTAGAACATAGTCTGGAAGAACACATAGGCTACTAATTAAGGTTTTTTTTTAATTTCGTGCGAACGTAGTCACAGGCAACAGCTAGTACTTATATATCCTGGACAAAACATATAGCTTTGTTAACATTTTTTGATAACTTCAAAGGTGTTTTAATCTGACGAAAGGGTTAATAATTGGCATAACACAAATTAGAAGTTCACACGACGAAACTTACGTAGTCAATATGTATTCGTAATACATATACTTTGACGACAGAAGGACACATAAAATTAATTTGCAGAGCCAAAGAAATTGTACACATAAGATGAAATCTAAAGTTTGTAAAATTTGAATACGACTTATTCAAAGTACGATGTAAATTTTAAATGATAGACAGTTTTTTACATCTTCAAGCATCTCATCTTATGCGAATAAAAAATATAATATCGCAAGTTGAAGAGCCCTTACACCCCCTTTCCTTTGCCACCCCCCCACCCTTATTCAGAATCCGCAAGCTACGGGCTACAGGTACCAGCAAGGAGTGATCTTAAGTAACATTTACTTAAAAGCTAGACGAATTCATTTGAAGCGCTAAATATGAGCTCAGTCGACTTTATTGAATGCCAGCGTCTACGTGTTGACCATGTATTCCGGTTTATATAGGACAGTCTCGGAATAAAGCTCCTTTTTTATGAAAGGCGACATATTTATAATATCAAAATATTAATATGGCTATAAAACTGCTATTTCGCTGATGGTTTTCTTTAATTTGTTTAAGCATGGATATCAAAAATTTTACAAGAACAAGAAACATAAATTTGGATAAATTTCAAAACCAATATTGTAAAAACAGAAAAAGTATATCAAAAGGTCTGAACTCTGTCCTTAAATTATACTGTTGTGTAACATTATATAAACTTAATTACAAGTACATATATTAAAAACATTATGTTCGTTTTGACAACCCTAGCTGGCTGGTACTTTAGCCCCGCGCCGAGGGAGCGTGGCCTAGGATGATGTCGCCTTAATTATTCTGTCTGATAAATTGTACGAGTGACGTACCGTTGTGCGGGATGTATGCTTAGTCACATTGTAAATTGTATTTGGCAGTTTGATTTGACATTGTTGGGGTTTACAGTTAATTCTGTCAGGGTTGACGAGCTTTAAGTCGTGTCAGATAAATGAACGTCAAGCGCTTTGAAATAAGTAATTATTTACGATGAGGAAAACCAGAAAGCTTCTACACTTTTACGCTTCCCACGCCAATTTCCAATGTGCAAATTACAAAGTAGGTACGAAGCACTTTAATATTCACTTACGTATGTTATTAAAATTACATTATATTGAGGAAAACTTTAATGTAATCTCATATTATTATTTAGCGTAATAAGGAAATAATAATATAGAATGTGTACCACGTGGTAAGTATGTGTGTGGCGATAACGATTATAAATTATGTGCTAAATGATTGTGTTAATTTAGTCTATTACGTAGTCATTATGTTAACTATACTGAAGCAGAATTATCCAATAGTTACAATTATATTTTAGTTTTAAGCAATACATACCGAGATCCAACTTGTGTATATTTTGCCTTGACTTAAAAAAAAACCTTATAAATTGTCACTTCAACCAAAAAACAAAAAGATTTTAAAAATTAAATAACAAAAAAACTATTTTCCACAATTCCGAATTAAAAAATCACAAAACAATAATTCACAACAGGCGCGCAAATCGAACGCGCAACGGCGACGATTCGAATCGAATTCAAATTTGAAAATGGAACACGAGCGCGATCGCGACGGACGTCCGCGGCGCTCAATTAGAGGCAGGACGCGGCCAATCGCGCTCGTTCCCGCGCCGCGTGACGCATGCGCAGTGCCGACGCAGCGCGAGGGGGACGCCATGTTGGAAACTAATCACTACATATGGGGATTCCATGTTACTACTCACTATTCAGGACGAAGATCTTAAAATGGCATTTTCATAATTTGGACAATTTGCTCTAAAATAAAAAATAAATAACTTATACTCCTCAATAGGATGATAATTAGACATAAAAATAATTCACCATCTAAATTCATTTAGTATTTGAGAAAAACAAACAACAAAACATTATACACTCATTTCAGATAAACATACATTGATACATTTTCGTCGCATTTCTGCGCATTAAGTTTCTGTAGCAACATCATACAAGTTGCGTCTAGTCTGGTATATATCCGGAAAAATTCTATAGAATGGGGAACCTACATATACGCGTAGGGTTCCGAGTGGCAAATTGAAATCTAAGGGATGGGAGATGTATGAAATTGAAAAGTAAATTTGAAATTATGCGTTAGGGTCGACGCACTCTTGAAGGGATCTGAGTTGTGCCATGTGCTTTATTGTTGGAATTTCCTTTTGAAAAAAAACATTACTATTATTTCGTACGCAAATCACTAGTATTAATATAACGTCCTGATTTACTAGGTCTGAATGCACTACTTTTAGTAATTACTAAAAAAATACTACAAAATTACATCAAGTCGCAGTAAGTTTTCAATTTTGGTCATTCAAACGACAACGAAACAGTTTGCTTTTTGTGCACCTCTGCTATAAAAAACGCATCTAAAAATCATGAAATTTTCCAGGCCTTGCAACTGATATATTCGTTTTTAGTATTCAAAGAATACGGGTAATGCGTTTCAATACTAAGAAACATTTTTTTCTAAATAAAATTTCATAAACAGCGACAAACAAAGACCAGCCAGACAACAAAAAAAATATGTTAAGCAAAAACTGTTAAATTAAACATGACTATTATAAAAAAAAGAGTCCGACTTTCGTAATCCAAGCTAACATTATCGAGAATTTGAAATTCCTGTCGGACAAAAAGTGGGACAAAACGGTCGCCCCTCCGATCCTCTATTCATCGTGTACACTACATAAATGAATACGATATATGTATATAAGTCGACATATATTCGACCTTACGACACCCGATA